TATGCAAATTTCTTCCATTCAACTAGTATCATTCGCCGGTCATTGCCGCACCCTCATCTTAGAGTCCAAACACACACTAATTTCCTTGCTATTATATGCTAGCCGTACACGGTTATTCGTATACGTATATCACTCGTATCGCACGTGGATCATCTGCGTTGAATGCATTATATCGCGTACGGCGCATCCGTCGTTGCTATAATGTGGAAAGTGTACGTACCTGTATCCCGAATAGCAGCGACAGGTGAAACGGTAGCGGGTCGTTGACACCGTAAATCAGCTTGCGGGGGTCGTCCGTCTCCACGGCGCCGACGTCGGCTGCATCGCATCCGCTCATCTTGTCACGTGACTCTTAAAGGATGTCAATTGTTTTGTTCAACAAGCGACGCAGAGATTGCTAACCACAGTTGTAACAATATTGAGCTAATTAAATTGAACACGTCACGAATTTTCTATGGTGTCTATTTGTAAAAATTTGGTTGCAATTCTTTTTTACATGAAAAGTAAGTACTCAGTCACGGGACTAAATGTATCATAAAATTTTTATCTGATAAGATTGTTTCTCAACTAGGTAAAAATCCAAAAAAATCTGGGCGATTTGATATATTTATCACGAGATTAAATGCTTGCTATGGGTTATGTATGAGTCACGAGTGTTTGTTCACATCGAACGGAATAGCAAAATAGGAAGTATATGCAGCAATTTAACCATAAAAAGTGAACAGAATCACTTACATTTCGGGAAAAGGTGGACATAATTTTTTTAACTTTGACTATTTACGGTGACGTAATCACTTTACCCTCCATAAGTACCAAATATTTACGGCTACGGTGTGAATTAACACATTGTGAAGCGCCGCGGGAATATCGTAACCGACGATCGTAACCGGTGTTATCATCGTATCGTTATTAATTATGTTTACACAAAGAATGGGCAGCACGTGCACTGGTAAATGTTTAACAAGTTTGTATTAAAATCAATCTAGTTGTTTGCGTTAATTTAGCGTGCTATTACATAGTAATGCAGTAAATTATGTCACTGTCACTGCGTTTACTATTTAATATTATAGAATTGTGTTTATTAACAAGAAATCATACCTTACGTATTTGTAGGTTACACTGAAAATAGGATTATCAGTAAGAATTCATAACATCGCTTACGATTTTAAGATGACAGAGATGACTTCATCATCCAAATTAAGAGATAATTGAACAAGAAAATTACACAACAGTAAAAACACCACTTCGAATACCAGCTGTCTGCAATTAAAAGTTAATAGAAATCGAAGTTGATTACCTGTTTTCTTATCCATTGCTCACCGATCTTCAAACGGCCACGATGGGTGGCCAACGATTCTTTGCACACGCTGCAGTTTTGTCATACGGTTTCTGTCAGTACGAATTGCAGCACGAATCTGCCGCTTTCCCACTGTAGCGATAGAGAATTAAATGTTCATAGAAGAAATGACCGTTGCTAGTCAGCAGCTCGCAAGCGAATAGCCTTATTATATTACCCTGATATATGGATCAGCGCTTGTTGTACACACCCCTGCGCCCCTAGTGACGGACAAGTGAAAACAAAGACGGCAAATGATCGCGAAGATTGCTGAAAGCTGCGTGTGTACACAGGGCAAAGGTATATAGATAGATAAATAGAGAAAGAGCACTGAGAAAACGCTTTTGCGACACAGTCGCTATACTATAACCCTCGCTTCTGAATTTACGAGGGCTATTAATGCATAATATATTTTTGTTTTTGTTATAGTATCCGTTGGAGACTATAGACATTTTTATAGACATTCTTTCATTGTGCTGCATTGTGCTTGATTCACCCGAAGACTGACCTATTGACCTGTATACGTGCTCATGTCAGCGTGCGTATGATTCACGTAGGTACATATAATCAAGAGCGGATAATTATCAAGCGGTATTATCCGCTCTTGATATAATCAAGAGCGGATATAAGAATACGTAATTTAGAATAAAGTTGGGGATTTTTGAAATCAACAGCCTTGACATTTTCGTTCAAGATTTCCATGTGCCTGTCTTCACATACCTATACCATGAATGAATGTATATAAATTTGTGTAATACTAATGAACATTCTCCTGACTATAGCATAGGTCTATCTATAGATCTCTCATTATTGTTTCGTTATATTTAAATTATGATTGTAAACGAGTATTACGTATATGAGTTCGAGCTATGTAAAGAATACTTCCGCTCTCTTGTTTTTAGTGACAATTAGATGGGCCGCACGCCGCACGATTGCATTTATGGAACACGGTTAAAAAAGGGCGCCGTCGCGTTTGAAAAAGGGCGACGTCGTGGTTGAAAAAGGGCGACGTCGCGTTTGAAAAATCCAAGAAGTGCAGAAAATCGCACTACTGGGAACAGCACACATCCTGCGAAAAGTTCTGGATTGAATCCCTATGTCCCAGGTTGGGACACGGTCAACCCAGAAGCCACCGGCTAATGCCGTGATCCACTTTGAAAATAATAATAATAATAATAATAATAATAACGATCGACTTAACGATCGATAAGGGGATGCCGTGATCCACTTTGGAAATAATAATAATAATAGCTGCGTGCAGCAGATCTGCAAGTTAGTTGTTATACCAGCATATCTTCACTTCTTGCTGTTGTCGTCATCGTCATCGTCGTCGTCGTCGTCGTCATCGTCGTCGTCGTCGTCGTCATCGTCATCGTCGTCGTCGTTGTCGTCGTCGTCGTCGCTGTTCTTGTTCTTTTGTTTCAATTGGTGTTTTTGTATTGTCGTTACGTTAGGTTCGTTGAGTTATGCGATGCTGCTACTGATCGTTAGGTTCTCATCGTCATCATTACAGTCACCGTCATCGCTGTCACGTATTTGTCGCAGTCGATAACACGGCCATCTGTTGCACGTAATCGTGTTCTGCAGTTACTATGTAATGTGACACTGTACACACAATGTTTGAGAACTACGGTGCTTTCTAAAACTAAAAAAGGTTTAATTTGTATAGGTACTTCTCGTAGCCTCTCTTCTGCAGGGTCGACACCCGTCTCCAACGTATATGCGGTCACTATAGGAAAAAATAGATGAGAAAATTTGCGTGGTGTCATTCATATTTCCGTTTCATATTATCGACGTGTGGTGAATGAAGGGTGTATATTGAAATTACACTGCTATTAACCATATATATATATATATTTATTTATTTATTTATCGTATTAATAATCTGTAGTTACGTATGGGTCAATCTTCTTCCTTCGATTCATGATTTCATATCGGACTCGTACCGTTATCTGGGCATTTCCATTCGGGAAGCTGCATTAACGCGACAACAGGTGGCAGAAATGAAAAAGAAGCTCCCTGGATGATCGGCAATCTGTAAAAGATAGGTACAGCCAGTAGTGGTAGCATGCGTATATATACACTATCGGCACTATCGCACAGAGAGACAGAGAGAGAGAGAGAGAGAGAGAGAGAGAGAGAGAGAGAGAG